TTGTACCTTGATTGGTACTGAGCTAAAAGTGTTTCTAGTAGTAGGGCATTTACTACATAAGTGGTAGCAGCGGAGATAATAAGAAACCCTAGTTAAATGCCACAGTCTCCAAGTTAAGACTGCAACTAGAGTTTACAGAATACCAGAGTATCAGAGTACAAGAATGAACAGTATGCCAGTTGTGCAACAGTGAACAGTTTTAGGTTTTGAACCTAGAGTAACTAGTGAAGAATGGGATATTAGAATACCAGATATGAAGGAAACCGGAAACGGGGGGGTGGAACATTGATAAAAGAAAGAGAAAAATACTACTAAAGCAACGGGGAACTGATAGGACATAGAAATGGAAGGAAACAAAGGAGAAAGAAACTAGAAGGATAATGAGGAGAATAAATAGAAGAAAGAAATTGGAAGCCCTGAAGCTGAGATTGGAATAAATGGAGTGGAAAAATCACAAAAAATGTGAAGAGCAAGAAAAGACATTAAGAAAGATTCAAAGAGTGAAAGCAATGTTGGAACAGAATAAGAAGATGGATGAAACACAACAACGCACGGAAAACTCTACAGTGAGCAGAGGAAACTGGAAGATCTACCGATGGTTTGAATGAGGAGATGTGTTAAATTGAAGTTGTTATTGAAGAAAGAAAACAGGATTTCATTCAGAGTGCTTCCAAATATTATGTAAATCCAGAAATAGTGTTGGAATGGTGCGAGAATTTGGAAACTCATCTGCTTAACAGTAAATGGGAAAAAATTCCAAATAAAGATGTAAAGAGGATGCTGGTTTCTTGCATAACAGGAGCAGCTAGAAAAGAGGATTAGCATTTGAGAGATATGAAACACGAGTGTTTTTTGCAGGAATGTTGTAAAGATTCTCACAAGAAAAATATGAGGAAGGATGGAGACAGGAATACCTAGAAAGGAAACAGAAAAAGGGGTAGGGGGAAGATACCAGAGGATATTATACTGACAAGGAGAGGTTATGGCAGAAACAGGAATACCTAGATAAAAAACAGGAAAGTGGCGAAGATACCAGAGAAAATTACACTGACAAAAGGAAGTTATGTGTACAAGCATAACCTCCAGACAAGAGCCTGGTAGAATTCAAGGATGAAATGCTAATGTGACTGTACAATGCAGAGTTGAAGGAAACATGCATTTTTTTTCATGCATCAGGAGCCGCAACAGGAAAGCAAGATTAAGGGAGTACTAGACCACCAGCTATCCAGAAATATAGGGGTGAAAAACTGCATAGTCAGAGGAAAGGAATCAAGATCAAGAGATACAAGAAAAACAAGATAAAGGAAGAGAAATTGAAGAACCAAGGATGTTAAAAAATGAGAAAAAAATCAACAAGCGAATGAAGATTTATAAGAAAGGAAAATTAAGGCCGTTCAAACTGAACATATTGAAAAGATTTAGGGATGGAGTTCTCTGAGAAACCAAACCCATTCAGCTGTTGTAGACAAAAACAAAATTCCAAATCAGCCAATTGAAACAACAGATGCGTATGTAAGTTCCACAGCTATATCCAGAATAAATGCTGAATTAGACAAACACAGCATGGGCAGCAGGAAAGTTAGTCCGGATCCAGAGAATAACCAGAAAGTTCAGAGAGATAACAGGCAGATTAGAAGGGATTAAGACCTGTTAAAACAGGTTCCAAACCTTCTACCCCCAATCCTCTAAACAAGAATATAAATATTCTTAGCATGGAGATGGACAAGGAGCTTATCTACAACTTTGTGGAAGACGGGTTAAGTTGTAACTGTACTGATCTAAAAGTATGTCTATAGAGTAGGGCATCTACTACAATCCTTCTGTTTAAATATTCAAAACAGAATAGTTAAATGCGCATATATGATAATCTGTCATATGATCACAATTAAGATGATGAACTGGATAAATATAATTTTTTTTTTTTTTTTCAGCACAAAATAAATTAGCACGACTCAATAATTTTGAAAATGTTGGTTGTATTTTTAAAGTGAAAATGCTACCGGGGTAATCTTTGTCAGAAACTCAAATTTTATAATCGAATATACAAGGTGTCCCACGAACCATGACAGTTGGTGAATAATTTAAAATGTCTTCTTCCATATTTACTTAAGTTGTTTAACACCAAAGAGAATTATAAGAAGTTTTAATATTATAGTGAAATTGATTTTAAAGTAAAATATATCAGTACAGGGAAGAAGCCATTCCAAATTATTTATCAACTGTCATGTTTCGTGGGATACCCTTTGTATTATTTCAACCTGATGGTGTAAAACCAAAGAGAATAGAATAAATTACAGTGGAATTTAGACAATCCCTAGGTATGCATTTTGTCCGGCCCTTTCAGCACTATAAAGTACGTTGTTATCACAAAACATAAAAACAAGAAAAAGGACATTTCAGAAAATGCAGAGGGAACATTATGCATGTCAGGGACAATTTATTTTTCTTAGAAATTTACTGTGCTTCCTAAAATAAAATTGACAGTTAATATAACTTCTTCTTTAAATATAGTGCTCCCCAAAATGAAATGTATTAGAATCATAGAGAATAGAATCTATATTAGAGTGGAATTTAGACAATCCCTCGGTATGAATTTTGTCAGTCCCTTTCAGCCTGTAAGGAGTTCAAAGTGTACAAATCACGTAAATGTTCACAAATTATATGAAGTAGAGTACATTAATACAGTATGTTCCCTAGACTATACATTTCAATTTCGAATTTTTGGAAGGTGTTAAAGCTGTTATAAAATGAATTCGGTGAATAAAAAACATCATTAGATTTAAAGTTATAACGGAAAATCATCGTTTGTATAATTTGGTTTTATTTTAATATTAATTTTAGATTTTCTATAAAATGATGTTCCAGGGCCCAAAAGGTAAATAGCACAAATATGTGAAGTACACCTGCAGTATGGAAACATTACAACAAAATGGCCGTTTTACATTTTTTTTAGTACAATTTTTTCCGACATTAGGTTGCGAAATTATAGGATTAGAAAATCAGAGTGTGTGGCAAGACTGAATTAGTTTGTAATTTTAGGTTTACAAATGAATGCCGCCATACATCACTAGAAGACGACATTTATTTAATACATAAATAAAATTATTTCCCCTTTGACTACTTCCTCTTGTTTTATCTGCACAGATTGGTATTTGTTTTTGTTTCTACTTTACTTGGAAGTTTGATAAATTATTTCATACAAAATTTAATAAAAATTGTCAATAAATACTTTTTGGTTTATAGATAGATAGATAGATAGATAGATAGATAGATAGATAGATAGATAGATAGATAGATAGATAGATAGATAGATAGATAGATAGATATTTAGTTAGATAGAAGGAAAAATAGATAGATTTTATCTGAAAAGAATGTTTTGTCTCTGATATCTAACACCCTAAACTCATATCAAACTCATTCTATTAGCTTTCAGGTATCTTTTCAAACATATTACATTTCTACATATAACATTAAAATGTGAAAGAAATATATTACAGGATTATACAGTTAAAGTTCCTGGAACTGTTTCTATAGAAAAGTATCGCTGAGTGCCCTAAATATCTAGTTTATTAGGTTTCTCTGCGTTAAGACTTTTAAGTATACCAAACGTCGTTTTATGTTCCTAAAAAGAGACCCAAGTGGGTATATAATGTCCTTGCCAGAGTCGTCTATGAAAATTTTGCTTTAAATGCCGTTTGATAATATGCTCTGTCTCATTTCCAAAGATTAAAAAAATCAAATATGATTTTATTTTTACGTTTTTTACAAAAGAATTAATTGCGCATTTTTAATGATAGAACTGCGGATAAAAAAATATTTGTCTGATTTTTTTGAAAATCTGATGAAAAGGCATTGAGTACATTTCGAGTACAATTTGAAGGTTTCAACTGCATTTATGAGCAAAATGCCAAATCGATAAACTTTTATCCAACTCATTCTATTAGCTTTTAGGTATCTTTTCAAGAGAAACTTTAAAAAATTCAAACATATCACATTACTATATATAACATTAATATGTAAAAAAACATATTACTGGAGTCTAAACCTTTGTGGTCATCTCTATAAATTCAGCATTTCAGCATTCATGGAAAAGGAAAAACTGCCAAAAAAGTATTTTGCTTTAAAATGTAATCTACTTAAGACGACTTTTCTTTCTAAGTTTTGCTAACATCTACTTTTTTACTACAGTTTTAAACTAATTTGATTTTTCATAATGAATTTAATTTTCTTTTCGGCACCACATTTTCTCCTACTATTTTATTTTTTCATAATAGATTTTATTTTTTTCGGCACCACATTTTCTCCTTCCATTTGATTTTTCATAATGGATTTTATTTTTTCGGCACCACATTGGCAAAAATTATACCATATAAAAATCAAGAGGAAGGGCCAGGGAAGATTATTGTTATAATGAGTCTCATTTTTTTTGGTAACCCGGTTTTACACAAATATACAGAGTTACCCATTGAGCATGAGACTTAAAATACGACACATGTACGGAATTCATCAGTAATTTTTCTCATTCCCCGCAACCATATAACCCTCATTATTTCATTTGCACAATGAAAAAGACCTTATAAAGACTATTCAAGGCTGAATTGGATTTGGACAGTGGCGGATACAGGATTTAAGTGAGGGGGGTGCTAGATTTAAATTTACTTCTAAAATTAGGTTGACAAATAAACGCAGCAAATTATATCAAAAATCAAGACGACATTCAAGGCCTCTTGCATACTGTCATGTTTCGTGGGACACCCTGTATCTAATTATTCCCATTTTTTCAGTTTAACGAAACAATTTTAAAGCTATAAAATATAATCTAACAGAAGACGACATTAAAAACCCTTCTTCGGCAAATCCACCAATTCTTATAGATCATTATTATTTTCTGTATTATATTCTCACTAGAATGGTACAGTAAATAAATACTTGTTTCATTTTGATCTTTAAAATACATTTTTAAAAAGATATTTAATATTACATCATTAAATGGCAGCAAAAGAATTTATTGACAAACAAGTACAGAAAAATAAATAGATAAATAAATAAATAAATAAATCAATCAGACATCTTCCATGAGAATGGAAACATCACAAGCATAATGGCAAAACAAAATACATCTCTATTTAATTAATTCCAGGTTAAAGCTAAAATTGACTAAATGATAAACAGAGAAATATAATGCCCTTTTAAAAAGATGCCATGGAAAAAAAAGATAAATTAGACAAAAATAAAACTTTATAATTTTTGGATCCAAAAGCATGTGCATTTTTGATTAAGATTGCACTTAAAGATATTTAAGAGCAATTTATAATCTAACTTTTAGAAATATAAAACATACAAAAGAGACGGATTAATGCTTTGTTGGATTAATAATACAAAAGTCACGACCTTTGATAAAAACATCTGGATTTAACAGTTTGTTCCTATAATGAATCTACTTGAAGATAATTCTCATAGTTCTGCTGACTGTAATCCGTTAGAGCAGCGAGGTCAAGTGGAGGAGGTCGAGTATAGCTGGGGAGGTCATTGTAGTAAGTAGGTAGGGAGTAGAATGGGAGTTCATCCTCAAATAGAGCAGTGGTAGGGACAGGTAGTGGAGGTTGAGTAGAAGGAGCAGGACGGGTTGGGGGTTGAGTAGGAGAAGTTGGACGGGTTGGGGGTTTAGTAGGAGAAGTAGGAATAGTTGGAGGTTGTTTAGTAGGAGAAGTAAGACGGGTTGGGGGTTGAGTAGGAGAAGTAGGACGGGTTGGGGGTTGGGTAGGAGAGGTATGAAGGGTTTGAGGTTTAGTAGAAGGAGTTAACGGTTCTGAAGGTTTGTATGCTGGTAATGAGAGAGGAGGAAGCAAATCAGGAGGAGACAAAATTATTTCTTTTCCTCTTCGCTGGTTTAAAGATTGGGTTGGACCATCTGAGTTAGTTGGAAGGTACGCATTTTTTCTACTTTCATTCAGATTAAAACTCTTTGGGGCTCTGGGTCTTGTATGAGTCTTATGATTGTTCAGATGAGAATGAGTGGAGGGTTTGGGTTTAGAATCAGAGTTCTCAGCGGGATGGGTTGGTTCAGCTTCTGGTTCAGGGTAGGCTTCCTCATCCTGTAGCACCAATCGTTCATGGACCAGGAGTAGACTTTTATCCTTGGTTTCAGGTATCTTTTGACCAAATCTAAGGGGTAATCTTGGTTGTGTCTTAGTGGCAGGTCGATCAAGTTGAGAGGGTTCCTTTGTCCTTTGATCCAACTCGGGCATTGATCTTGATTCTTCATTTAGTTGGATAGTCGTTAAAAGTGTTGCTTGTACTTTTGGTCTTCTAGATGTAGATGTTTGTTGTTTTGGTCTTCTAGATGTAGATGTTTGTTGTTTTGGTCGACTTGACGTAGATGTTTGTTGTTTTGGTCTTCTAGATGTAGATGTTTGTTGTTTTGGTCGACTAGATGTAGACATTTGTTGTTTTAGTCGACTAGATGTAGATGTTTGTTGTTTTGGTCTCCTCGATGAAGTTTTTTGTTCTTTTGGTCGGCTGGATACAGAAGTTGTTGGTTGTTTAATAGGTCGGCTTGAAGTTGTTGGTTGTTCAATAGGTTGGTTTGAAGTTGTTGGTTGTTCAATAGGTCGGCTTGAAGTTGTCGGTTGTTCAATAGGTCGGCTTGACGTTGTTATGGATATTTTACTTGTTGGTTGGTCAGTTGATGGTGAATTTTCCCCCGTAGAATGCTCAATTGTAGATTTTCGAATTTCTTTCTGAATTCCAGGTTTTTCATTTTGGTTGGACGGTCTTGGCTCAACAGGGTTAATTGTTGCTTGGATGGGATTTGTTTGCGTATTTGTTTTGTTTTTTCTTAGGGCTTGGGTTGTTTTTTCCAAAACAGGCCTTTGTGACTTGGACTTATTGGGTTGGCTTGGATTTTTGGTGTTGCTCAACTTTTCATGGCTGCTTAAACTGCTTAAATGCTCGCTTTGATTATGTTCTCTTGCTCTGCTTTGTTTTTTATTTTTTCTCAGATTGCTTGGCTGTCCAGTTGTTTTTGAGTTGCTTGATTTTTCATTTTCTCTTGGGTTGCTTAACTGTCCATTTCCTCTTGGGTTGCTTGACTGTCCGTTTTCTCGTGGGTTACTTGACTGTTTACTTGCTCTTGGGATGCTTGACTGTGTAGTTTCCTGTATGTTGATTGACTTTTTATTTCCTCGTGGGTGACTTGACTGTGTACTTTTTCTTGAGTTGCTTGACTGCTTAAAAGAACTGCTCGCATTTCCAGGCTGTGGACTGGAATTTCTACCAAATTGTTTTGGTTTGCAATTAAGGCAGTTTTTCATTTTTTCCAGATTTGTTTTCAAATTGTTTTCAATTTTATTGTTTTCTTGTATTATTCGTGGAGGTGGGTCTTCTTGTTTATTAATTTCTTTTTGATTAATGTTCAAGGATTTTCCATTTCTATTTTCTGTTGTTTTACTTGGCTCTGCTAAATTTGGATTTATATGTTTGCTCTTTGAATCCAAACTTGTGTCTGCAGTCTTCAAACTTCTATCTGTGGACTCTAAACTTCTATCTGTGGACTCTAAACTTCTATATGTTGACTCTAAACTTCTGTCTGTAGACTCCAATCTTCTGTCTGTAGATTCTACAATTCTATCTATTGACTCCAATCTTCTATCTGTGGACTCCAATCTTCTATCTATGGACTCCAATCTTCTATCTGTAGACTTCAATCTTCTGTCTGTAGACTCTAAACTTCTATCTGTGGACTCCAATCTTCTGTCTGTAGTCTCCAATCTTCTGTCTGTAGACTCTACACTTCTATCTGTGGACTCCAATCTTTTCTCTGTTGACTTTAAACTCCTAACGGTTGACTTCAAACTTCTATCTGTGGACCCGAAAACTTTTTCAGTTTGCTCCAAACTTCCCTTTAAAGGCTTCAAACTTTCCTTTAGAGGCTCCAATCCTAATTTCAAAGACTCAAATTTTGGAGGCTCTTCTACAAATCCGACTGGGGTTTCCTCGGAAAAAATGCCCTGTAAAGTACTTAATTTTTTCCCATTTCTTTCCGAATTCAACGTTTTGTTGCTGAATTCTTTCTGGGAATTAAACTCTAGGATTACATTGACATCCTCCTGGACATCCTCCTTGGAGGTCAGAATGTCAAGGACATTAGACACCTTGTCCGGGGTGTCAGGGGTCTTCCCTTCGAAGGTCTTCTGCAATCTGAAATATTAAAAAATATATTCATGAAGTTTTAAAATGAGAAATACATATAATTATGATCGTAATAATAATAATAATAATAATATTAATGATAATAATAATAATCGGTTTTGAGGACAAGGTCTGAATATGTAAGTATAGGTGATTAGTCATATAAGTATGACCTGGACAGTTGATAAATTTTTATTTATGATTTGATTATTCAACTGATGAAGTTAATAAATGAACATTAGTGGAATTGGTTAAACTCAGATTTTAAACTAATGAAATGAGAAATATATGAGAAAAAAATTTAAATGTAAATAAAAATGAAAAATAAATGAGGATTCGGTTGAAAAAAGGATAAAGTAAATGATGGTTAAAAAACAAAGAATATAATGAAGAACAAAAATTGATGACAAAGAAGAATTGAAACAAAAGAAAAAGAAAATTTAAAAAATCCAACCTTTTACCTATTTCCTTGCAATGGTCGTTTTGTTGTTAAAGTCGCAAAGGCTGGCTCCATGGGTGTTTGAGGGAGATCAAACGGACGCTCCGGCGCATCTAAGAATTTTGCAAATCCGGCACTAGCAGTAGGAGGCCGCGTAGGCGGGATTAAGATCGTTGATTGTAGCACTTTTTTATCAATTGGAGGATCAGTTCTGAATATTGGCGGGGGGATGGGTTGCACAGGCGCATTAAAGACTTCATCGGAGAATTGTTCCTTAGGTTGAGGATTGAAATCATAATCTAATGTAAACTCTGAATCAACGTCAGACGGGTGAACTGGCGCATTTAGGAAGACCTCTGGACGGACAGGTGGTGGGGTAGGCTGATTGTTGGCAACAGGGATTTTCAGAGAAGACACTTTGTTTTTGCGAGTAGGCGATTTCAAGTTAATTTCCACTTCAGCAAATGTATTTGAATTTTTTACCAATTGCAATTTTTCTAATTTTTTATTCTTGTTGTATTCAAACAATTCTACGTCATCATTTTCCACATATTCATTTTTAATATCAGGAAGGTTTGTGACATCGCTGTTGAATTCTTCGACATTGGTTGCATTGTCGAGAAGACACCATTTAGAGAGAAGTGGTCGTTCTGTCGACACCGACTTAGAGGACAGGAGACAGACACTGGCAGGCTCTGAAACAAATCATTTACAATATATATGTTTAATAAAGATATTCGCTCTATATTAATGTGTTAACTATAAGCTGACCATACGACTGGACCAAATTGTCTGAAATTTTTTAGAAAAACCAATTTTTAAAATTAAATTTTTTTTCCCAATTCTTAGGGCAACGCACAAACAAGTGTTCTGATTTTGTATTTTAAAAATGGAATAATTTGCAATTGTTGTAACTTGTCTAAACTTGTCTAGGTTGTAATAAAAAGCTTAAAATCTGGCAACTTTCATATCGTCATTTGAAAGTATCATTCAAGACTCCCCCTCTGACTACGCCAGTTACAGGTAGAATTATTGCCACCTAATGAAATATAAAGGAACACCTAATTGTTAACTTATTGTACAGGGTTAACCCACAACGAAGGAAACACATTTTGCAAATACTAGTTGCTTCATTCTTGAAGGGACTGCTGTAGAGATGGGAATTCTTGAAGAGACTGTTGTAGAGATGGGCTTTCTTGAAGAACTGTTGTATAGATGAGCATTCTTGAAGAGACTGTTGTAGAGATGGGCATTCTGGAGGAGACTGTTGTAGAGATGGGCATTCTTGAAGAGACTGTTGTAGAGATGGGCATTATTGAAGAGATTGTTGTAGAGATGAGCATTCTTGAAGGGACTTCTGGAGAGATGGACATTCTTGAAGAGACTGCTGTAGAGATGAACATTTGAAGAGACTGTTGTAGAGATGGGCATTCTTGAAGAGACTGTTGTAGAGATTGGTATTCTTGAAGGGACTGATGTAGAGATGGGCATTCTTGAAGAGACTGTTGTAGAGATGGGCATTCTTGAAGGGACTGCTGTAGAGATGGGCATTCTTGAAGAGATTGTTGTAGTGATGGGCATTCTTGAAGAAATCGTTGTAGAGATGGGCATTCTTGAAGAGATTTTTGTAGAGATGGGCATTCTTGAAGAGATTGTTGTAGAGATGGGCATTCTTGAAGTGATTGTTGTAGAGATGGGTATTCTTAAAGAGACTACTGTAGAGATGGGCATTCTTGAAGGGACTGATGTATAGATGGGCATTCTTGAAGAGACTGTTGTAGAGATGGGCATTCTTGAAGAGATTGTTGTAGAGATGGGCATTCTTGAAGAGACTGTTGTAGAGATTGGCATTCTTGAATAGACTGTTTAGTGGGCATCGTTTTTTTCAACGAACGAAATGTTTTAGAAACGATGGTGTCGTTCAGTAAAAAAAGAACGATGGAAGAACGACTTGCATCGTTCAGAGAGAAAAAAATGATTTTTTAAAAATAAACAAAAAACGTTTGAACGATCATGAAAAACTATAGTTTTTTACTGAGCGATTGAATTTGCCAAATTTTCTTATCTTTCTCAGTTGCACTTTAGTAACTTTTACAGAACGTATCACCAATTGAAAACAACCGACATTTTTCATTTATTTTGCTCATGTATAGGTTTAAAGGTACCACGCGGTGAATCGGGTATGCCACTGTCAAAATGTGAGAAGAAAATTAAATAAAAAAAAACCTAGATACATTTTTCCATGTAGGGAAGAAACATAAATTCTCTGAAAGATTCTTTTTATGATACAGTGATAACCAAAAAATTATAAATTACTTACTGTTTTCAACATTTATATCACCGAGAATTGTCATTATTGATTGATTTTTAATTATTTATAAAAGTTAGCATACATATTTTCAGAGATATTCAGATATTAAGATTACAAATTACAAAAACCACCATTACAGAAGGAAGCAAGAACACGACAAATATTTCTGCTATTTTTAATAACTATCCCTGTTCTTTACCTTTAGTACAGACATGCTTAGGAGATAGGGATGGAGACAATTTGGTTACATACTGCAGGGGTAAATAACTCTTAAGAAATTTACAAGGATTTGTTTATTTCTACAAAGAAGATGTATGCTCTTTACAAGATAAAACCTTAAAGACAACCGGAAACTTTTAAAGATGGCGATACCAAGGTTAAATTAAATGTCGTCTCTGAAGTCTCAATCTTTGTGGGTAACCTTGAACATAATAACGATCCACTGCACAACTTGATTTTATAAACGATTAGATTCATGGAGATTCCCTGCGCCATGAAACAAAAAAGAAAACTTGTTTAACATTTTGACTAATATTGAATTATTGTTTCAATTTAAAGTTTATTGGATAATAAGTGAATGCTCTTGTCATAATGTTTTCAGTAGGACCCATAAAACCGTAGAATAGTACCATAAAACCGTAGAATAGTACCATAAAACCGTAGAATAGTACCATAAAACCGTAGAATAGTACCATAAAACCGTAGAATAGTACCATAAAAGTACCATAAAACCGTAGAATAGTACCATAAAACCGTAGAATAGTACCATAAAACCGTAGAATAGTACCATAAAACCGTAGAATAGTACCATAAATATGAAACTCAGCAATTGTGCAGCGCACAAGTCCCAAGAAAAGCTACAGTTAAAACTAGTTGCTTTATACCAACATCAAATACGCATAAGGTTGCTTTTCTACCGTCTTTCAATTGTAAAGTGTTATAGATGCCACTGTACCAGGCTCAAATAGGTAAAAAAATCCTTTAAAGTAAGATTACAGAAAAAAAGAACATAATTTGAAGAGTTTATTTTCCTGACAGGTTTTTAGTGGTTGAAGATCACATGATTCTTCAGGGATCTCATTTTCAGACACTACATCTTTCTCATGGCACTCCTCATCTCCCTCTTCAAACCTAGTAAAGGATTCAGATTAAAGGGACTGTTAGCGTAATTTATATGATCTTCCACTTTATTTAATTAAAATAGATTTTCATTAAAATTTACTTGCAGATTTGTGCAGCATAGAGAAGGGAGGAAATTGACAGAATGAATACTCTTAAATATAAAAAACGACGATGGTTTAAATTGAGTACCGTTGTGAATGCCACTTGAACTTGAAACTATATCGAGAGTATTTTTACGATGTCGCACATACAATACAATTAGATGTATACCAAGAATGGTTGAGATCAAAGTTTTATTCTCAAATTTTATGTTATATCTAATATATTATATTTTTGCACAAATGATGTTTACTTGCTTCGATAAACCTGTGATGTATATTATAATTGAGGCGGATGTAATCCCGTTTAACTATAATTATCCTAAGGGGGGGGGGGGGGATATTTCGGGTGCAATAATCTTAATTCACACGTAATTTTCCTATAAAAGACATAAACTCAGTATACAACAGAATTTTCTTGAATAAATAAGTCGTTTAGACAGTTAGTATTAAAATGACACTTTACAATTGCGACTATTTTTTGTTATGCATCATCACATGAAAACCCCAAAGTAAGAAGCAAATTTCCTGTTTTTGGGGATCATTTTAGAAGTAAATCATGAATTAAGAATCTTATGTTTGTTTAACCGTTTATTCAAACCAAACAGACCATACAGCAGACCACGAACATAAGTGAAATGATCATCTATATTTACTTAAACTTTCCGTGTTTGATATTTATTAAGAAGATGAGTTGTACTCCTATTCCACAGCTTTATGGGATGTGTCATATGTAGATATGAATACATGGGTTTATCATACACATTATTTAAGATGCATGGATGAACGCTAGGCCGACATATAGTGCATTTATGCATTTATATAATCTACATATATTAAATTTGAATTAAGTTATGATCTTGATAGATTAGGTTGAATTGTAATTGATGATCGCAAATAATACTGGTTTATCTTGTAAAGAGATCTAATCTTTGAGTTACAGGGACTGTTATAGACGTAGATTTAACAGACTCCCCCTTTAACCCTATAAAAGCTGGGTGTCTGATTCTATGTATAGACTGGAGGGGGGGAGGGGCTTAATCTATTTATAGACTTTTTGTCCGGCCCGTGTAAAAAAAATCCAAAATAGCCCATAACTTTTTTATGACTAAAGCTACAGATCTAAAAACTATATTTTTGAAAAGCCTTTGAAAAATGGATGTAGAAACATGTGTCACACTTTAATATTTGTTTTAAACAAAAAAATAATTTTAAATTTTTTTTTTGCCTTTTTCGCATTTTTTCAACCCTTTTTTAACTTAGACTATTAAATCAATTAGGATTTATAGTTCGAAATATCTAAGACATATAGAAACGGGTTGTAAAGATAAAGGGATTAGAAAATTAAAGTCTGTAGCAAAAACTGAATTCCTTTAAGTGATTACAAATTCTTTTCAGATATTATATGGTCTTCACAATTTTAGAAATAGTTCATGTAAAAATATAGTAATCTACGTAAAGGAACTAAGTCTTTGCGACAAACACAAATTTTCTAATCCCTATATCTTTGCGACACATTGGTGTACACTTCTGATATTTCAAATTTGAAATATTTGATCTAACAGAATACATGGTTTGAAATATCCAAGGTCTAACGACATTGAAATTTAGAGATATAGGAATTAGAAAATCAGAGTTTGTGGCAAAAACTCAATTCCTTCATTATTATCACCTGCATCCAGGTCCGCAGAGCTCTATTGGTAGTTTAGTACACACAGTGTCACCAACAAATCTATAATAAAACCATCTTTGTAAACAAAGATACAGTGAGAAGTATTTGAAATTTGCAATTGTTGCAAACTACTCATGACAATTTATCATCTTGCTCTCAGCTCATAAATATATATATGTAAGCTATAGCTGGCCAAACGGCTTAACCAACGTTTTTTCGAGTGATTTCAACGTGGCAACGCCAGCCACGGCAGCTAGTATCCTATACATAGCACTTTTTAAATAGTTCAGTTGCAAAATCCCTTTGCCATTTTATATTAAAAAGAGAAAAAAGTTTGACTAGAACTCTACTGTTTTCTGTTATTTCCGTAAAATATCGTTGTGTTTTAATTTTATGTTGTATCTTTTTGCATTTGAATCAAAAGGATAGTTTAATCATCAACATTTGTATTATACAAGTTTGTTACTGCATGTTAAAACCTTGTTTTCTATTTCTATCATTCTGAGCGTGAGTCTAGCATTTTGATAGTTATTTCTAAAAGTAGAATAGTTCATGTTTGTGCTTTAAATAATATCATATATTTAAATTTTACTACAGCTTACTTTTTATTTTTCTGTACATATTTAGTTGTACATGAGGTTTCATGTACAGTTTTGCATTCTTCAGGACCCGTACCGTCACACACCTAGATGAAAAAAAAATATTTTTAGAAAAAATAATTACTCTCTTAGGGGTCCCTAGAAAGCACCCCCATAAAATGAAACATCCAATCCCAAAAAAAAACCAAAAACACTTCCTGTGGCTCTAATGGTCTTTTTCAAACTTGGTTTTCTTCTGATTTCCATATATTTATATACATAAAACTGCTTCAAAATGTGACATCTTCTGCATCTTTGAAAATAATCGTGGTATATTTTTATGGAACATATTTAATTGGAATAATTTGTAAATCGAAGGAAAAAAATTTGGAAATTTACGGAACAAATATGGAAATCCACGAAAAAAAAATTGTAAATACACGGAAACAATACGGAAATCCACAGAAAAAAAATTGGAAATACACGGAAAATATTTTGGAAATACAAGAAAAAGAAGAAGAAAATTTCAGCTTCACTGCACACCCCTCCTGAACCGAGAAAAAGATTTAAAAAAACTTACCGTAAAACTAAGGGTTGGGCATTATTCTATAATAGACCTTCCAGGTTGAGATTGAAATCCTAGTTGTTCCTTCTTGGAAAATAGTTCACTTTTAAGATTTGTAAAAAATTACCTTAAAAGTGACTAAAGTTTATTGCTAAAAATATGATTTCAATCTCAACTGTTCTGAGACCTGGAAGGTCTATTATAGAATAATGCCCAACCCTTAGTTTTTATGGTAAGTTTTTTTATCTTTTACTCGGTTCAGGAGGGGTGTGTGAAGCAGAAGTTTTTTTTTTATCTTTTTCTCGGTTCAGGAGGGGTGTGTTCAGCCAGCAGCTCAATCTATTAAACAATGTTCACATTCTTACCGACAAGTGGCTCAACTCTTTAAAATCAATCATCAGTAGAGATGGGTGGTTACAAGGTTTCAAAAACAATGTCCCGATGACATTCTTCAACTTTTTGCTCCGACTATAATTGCGCAGTATAATCTGCAAACTATAGGTATTGTTAAAGAGACTGTTAATATAATTTCAAGTGAATTTCTATTATCGGAGTTGCATACTTGATGCATAAATGTGCCCTTTAACGTCCAGAAATGATTTAAATATTATTTTTTCTATCTCTACAAAAGACAATTTTAATTTCTATTTCTCAAGAACATAACTTTCAAATCTTTGCAGCTAAAACAATTAAGGATATTTACATAAATAAACACTCATAATGCAAGATATAAAAATGATATCTTTCTCATTGTTACTTAGATGAATATATTAAGGTACCGCGTACTCACTTATAACTCAGTTGACAGACCCTTATAAGGAAACAAAGATGTATTTCAATCAAATCTTTATAGTTTTTTTCTCCATCCCGGAGCTATAACTACACTGTCCATATTGTAATTTACATGTCCATCCTATGTTTAAAGCCTACACGAAACCAAACACTAATGATTAAGCTGTTAAAAAGACAAATTGTTGTGTAAATCTTTACAAATATCGTCAACATAGACATATTAAACATATTCAAACAAATCAAACTTTACCCAAAAAAAGAAAATAAATGCCTAAAAAATTATTAAAAATGTCTAAATATAAACAGCTAAACATGTGAACATGTTAATAAGTAACCATGTAAACATGCGCGTAAACACGTAAATTAGTAAACATGCAATCATATAAAAAGTTAACAAGTAAACATGTAAACATGTAACAAAATAAATAAGTTAACAAGTAATCAACTAGACATGTAAACATGTAAACATGTAAACCTGTAATCATGTCAACATGTAAACATGTAAACATGTAAACATGTAAACATGTAAACATGTAAACCTGTAATCATGTAAACATATAAACATGTAAATATGTAAACAAGTAATTAAGCAGTTAAGTAAACAAGTAAACAAGTAAACAAGTAAACAAGTAATAAGTAAAAAAGTAAACAAGTAAACAAGTAAGTAAGAAAACAAGTAAACATGTAAACATGTAAACAAGTGAACGTGTAAACAAGTAAACATCTAAACAAGTAAACATGTAACCAAGTAAACAAGTCAAGAAGCAAACATGTAAACAAGTAAAAAAATTAAAAAGTAAACATGTTTACAAATAAACAAGTAAACAAATAAACAAGTAAATTTGTAAACATGTAAATATTTAAATGTTAACGCTGAAAAAAACAAATGAGTAACCAGAAACCGCAAACCCAGAATTCCGCATCACGAAGCTATATAGTTTTGAAAAATAAACAGAAAACACCCAAGATCAAACCTCAACATCTCATTATGAGACCTCTATTAATCTCCCCCCCCCCCACTCCTCATTCTTTTACAACCCCCCTCCCTCCCCTCTCCAAACATTTCCATGTTTACCTTTTTTACTGGTCGATAGCATTTCTTTATTTTCTCTGTATTAACTGATGTTCTATAAGTTAAAAATATTAGTAAAATAACACTTTTAAACTTTAAATCGTTAATTAAATACATGATTCACATGGGTACCTTTCAGCTATTTATCGGATTAGCGCCGAGGAAATAACTTAAAAAGAGAAACCACAATGGAAAATTATCAAAAAAAAAGAATATAGTGAATCGGAATTAGAATTACGTACGTTGACAAATCCTTTATTGTGTTTTTCTAATATTTAGATTCCTGAATGAAATATAACATTTTTTAGTAAATGTCTCTCCGCAGACCTCCTCTCTATAAACATCCACCAATTCAAAAATCAAAATAAATCTTCGTACATTATTAATATATCCTGAAATATTCAGCTTCATGGGTACCACCACGAATAGAAATATACTTGATAAACGTATTAAAATGTATCTAACTACCATTAATTAATTTTCAGCTTCATGGGTACCACCACGAATAGAAATATACTTGATAAACGTATTAAAATGTATCTAACTACCATTAATTAATTTTCAGCTTCATGGGTACCACCACGAATAGAAATATACTTGATAAACGTATTAAAATGTATCTAACTACCATTAATTAATTTTCAGCTTCATGGGTACCACCACGAATAGAAATATACTTGATAAACGTATTAAAATGTATCTAACTACCAATAATTGTTGCTTCTTAGAAATGATTTGATATTTTACGAAAAATTCGATGATTTCTACATTTGATGTAAAAAGCATGAAGAAAGACTAAAGAAGTGTAACTTTTTCTTTTTGGCTCTATTAACTTCAAAATTCGGTTGTATCCCATCGTATTTTTCGGAAATAGTTATTTTAATGTATTTTTGTAAATTATTCCATTAAAAAAATGCGCTATGATTATAATTTAGCGGGGTCGCGTGATTCATCTTTTTATCAACTCTACTTATTGATTTATAATTTATTAGATCAAACACTAGATCTACGGCATAATAGTAATTTATACAGACTGCTGTATATTATTCACAGATATCGTTAAATATATTTTTAGAATATATATGTATATTTTGAACAGATGCTGTATATTATTCACAGATATCGTTCAATATATCCTTAGAATATATAAATATATATTGGTACAGATGCAATACATATTATACACTCTTGTCGTTCAATATGTTTCACGTCTATCATGACGATCCTCAGTAGTTACAATATTTTAATATATATATAATATATATTTATATTTCTATAATTATTTATGTTAAAGGGAGGAGCCACTAAAAATGAAATGGGTTATTTGCATTAAAAATTACAGTTCATAAATTACTAACCGAGTCCAAAACTTATGACAAAGTATCGCAATGAAACCCAGTATCGGAAACCCGGTTTCATGAATCGGGTCAGCTCAGGCAGCTTTGTAGCTAGGGATGTTAACGTTTTCATTTTTCAGAAAAACGATCGTTTCGTTATGAAAACGACGTCAAAAAATGGAAAACAAAACGATCGTTTTTAAAAACGATCGTTTTTTTTAAAAGTTCGTTTTTTAAAAATGGTCGTTTTTAAAACGATCGTTTTTTAAAACGCTCGTTTTTCAAAACGATCGTTTTTAAAAAATTCGTCGTTTCGTTAACGATCGTTAACGACGACCCTTCGTTAACGATCGTTAACGACGAACCCTTCGTTAACGATCGTTAACGACGACCCATCTTAACGATCGTTAACGACGACCCCTTCGTTAACGATCGTTAACGAAGAGAGGAAACCGACCTGAAGGGCATCTGTACTTATCATTGAGTAGTTTTTAAGAAAATATCAAGGAGTTTTAACTCCCCCACAACTGTTAAACTTCATGTAAGACGACATTCAATAAAGTTGCATGTAACATTTTTTTCCAAAATGACCATTTTGATAAAGTTCGTCGTTTCGTTAACGATCGTTAACGACAACCCTTCGTTATTGATCGTTAACGACGAACTTTCGTTAACGATCGTTAACGACGACCCTTCTTTAACGATCGTTAACGACGACCCTTCGTTAACGATCGTTAACATAATTTTCAATAAAATATTTTTTCAAAAACGATCGTTTTTCAAAAACGATCGTTTTTTAAAAAACAATCGTATAAAAAACAGTCTCAAATCGTTTTAATAAAAACGATCGTTTTCAAAAACGATCGCTATTCGTTTTCTAAAAGTTCAAAACGAGTGGGTCGTTTTTAAAAACGATCGTTTTTTCCGAAAACGAAACGATCGTTTCTGAAAACGAAACAAAAAACGATCGTTTAACGATCGTTTTCAAAAACGATTAACAACCCTATTTGTAGCCTCTTAAATGGAAACTCGGGAGTTTCGTTCACCGATACTCTCTTACATTTCTTGCTCTGGCATCTTGAGCAAATTGTAAATTATTTATACAGACTAAGTAAATAAGAAAGTGCACTAAATTAATCCACATCGCCTTGGACTTTGACAAAGTAAAAAAGGAAAATACACCAAATCATATTCTTCAAGAGAGATTAATATATGTACGGCAAAGTCAGCAGAAAACAGAGGAATTTCAGGTTTTTTTGCTTTTTTTAGAAACCTTTCTACGGGTGATAAATACATAGTGAATTTTTAAAATGTTAAAATGTTTTGGTATTCCAATTTATTCTGACGACCCTGTGTGTGTATTAAATGCATTTATAAAATATTGATGGATTCCTGTGAGGTTTAAAAATCGTGACATAAGTGTAATGGCAGACCTCAACCAGACGATGCCTAGAAATAATAATAATCATCAAAATAATAATGATAATAATAATAATCATTATCTGCATCTAAAAATATATCTCCATGGCAATGATATTTATGATAGTAAAAATGATAATGATAGTAATAATAATAATGATAATAATAATTAGAATGAAAATGATAATTATAATAATTATAATAATAATGATAGCAATTAAATTAACAGTTATAAAAACAATGATAATAATTATAATGATTATAGTTATCATCATCAAATTTATCATTTTAAAGACCATAAAAATTATAACGAAAAAAAAACACATTGGAAAAGAATTAAAATGAATATTATCGTCGAAATAAAGTGAAAATTTCAATTATCAAGATAAAAATTCAAATCTGTACACATAAAATCTTCTTCTTTATTAAGAATGTTACTCTCATGCATTCTCTACCAGTCAATAAAGGTTTACCGATGTGAATAGAATATGCCAATTTAATAATTACATTAACAGTCACTCTACGAATGTTTACGAACGTTTACCTGCACTCCTGAACCTGCTCAGCTACTTGACCTGGTTGTACTGAGCTGGTCAGCACACAACATCTTCCATCCTCCTCCCGTACACAACCACTAGATAGATAGATAGATAGGTGTAACGTATTTTGGTTTACATTTTCCGCATCTATGGAGTACCATGTCATCATTGAAGATGTAATACATGTGTGTGGATGACATGTATTCCAGACACCCTTTTTCGACTACATTTCGAGTACATTTACAATTTATTTTCCATTTTGATTTAAATCAAAATAAACCTAAACAAAAGAAAACTGGCGCAGCTTTATTTGATCATGACAGCTTGATTTAACCACGTGCTGCCCGTTTTACGTTTAATTATAATAATATTTAATTCAATGATTAGTACTTGGGGTGGGGAGCAATAAGTTTTATACATGGG